TTCACTGCAAATCTGAATTTTAGCGAATATATAATAATAATGAGAATAACAGAAAAAATGACATCAGAAATGAGAGCAAAAAAAAAAGAGGGTGAAATCAAATGGATACTGGAAGACATGCTTAGGGTAGATTTCAAGACAAGACACGCAATCCAATTCATTCGCCAAATTTGACCAAATGCCAGTAGATTAAGACTCGAGATAATTTATCTCTGTCACAAAGAGAGAAATTTGAGTCAAATGTATAAATTTGAAACGAGAATTTTAATTTTTAATTTCGTATTAAAACCATTAAATATATATGCGGACCAAATGAATTTCGACTAACAAATTTCTAGTAAATTTACAATAAATAATTACAATAAATTACATAATAATAATATTAATAATAACAAAAAAAAAATATAAAAATCTTTGAATTTGTAGTTGAACTATTTTCTTTAAGAGAGAGAAAGAGAGAATATATTCAAGTTATAAGAAACGTTTTATAGAGTTATATGCACGAATAGGTGAGACGTACTCGTGGGGTTTGAAAAGGAGGAATGGGGGGGGGAGAGAGGGTGTTGTAAGGGAAGCTCTGCGGGAGATCAATGCCCTCGGGTGGAATCCGTTTCGAGAAAACGAACGTACCCAAGGAACGAATAGTCTTTCCCGAATACGATGCGGAGACAATGGGAAAGTACCGGTGCGAAATCGCGGCGAGAAAATTCATTCTCTATGATCCCATTTCTTCACACCACACCAGGTCTCTCTTCAATGGCAACACAAATCCCTGCTTACGTAATACAACATCCCTTTGGGATTTCCAACTCTAATATATATATATGTCTTAAAATCTCTCTTATATCTTATTTGGAACTTTTTTGTTTTTAAGCTGCATCAAGTTTGTTTATATCTTGATATACATCGATAAAATTTTTCACCCTTAACACCTATATAAAGTATTACTATATATACTAATACATATATTTACTATACACTGAAAAAAATTTATTTGATTCAAATAAATATTTACTTGAACCTAATAATTTTTAAAACCAAATAATTGATTTAAATAAATTGTATTTGAACCAATAATTTTTGTATTTGGTCCAAATACAATTTATTTAATTCAAATAAAAATTCTTATAAATAAAAAATTTAAAATTACTGAATGTAGAATTTTAAAAAGAAATGAAAAAAAAAATTTCTTCATTTGAACGTTAGAAAGTTTTGAAGGTATAGAAAGTTGCAATTTTAAATGGGCACACAGGTCATACGCAACTTAACGCGTTGGTGTACAGCCAAAAGGTTGGGTCACTAGGGTCGTCTTGGAAGTATTCCAAGGAGCTTCTGGCTGAAGAAACAGCCACCATGGCGCCTCTTCAACCTGCTTTTTTTAAAAAGAACATCATCTCTGACGAACAAACTTTTCGATTTTATTGCACTCTTATTTTTTTTTTACTTGCTATCATAAACACACATACACACACACATTGTTATCGCATATATATTTCGTTTTTATGTCCGCTGCAGTCCTCCTATTATTTTATATCCTTTGTTCGATTAATCGTTTCCGCGAATATTAAAATTGAGGGTGGTTGGGAAGTTTTATTATAATTTCTTTCTGCGCATGTTTCTTATCATTATTATTATTGAAGAGACAAAATTTTAAATTATATATTTTTTCCAATAAAAAAAAAAAATAATAATTTTACTCTGTTATGTTGAGAGGGTATTAAATTTTTTTCTATTTTAAAAAATGATCTTATTCATTTCTCTAAATATACATGAGAAGCTCTTGAACTAAAAGATAACTGATGCTAAAGTTCGTATGTATTCAGTGCACCACATTTTTCTCAAGTGTCGTTGACTTTGAGACGTGCTTTTCAGAAAATTTAAGTTCTCTCTCAATTTATTTAATCCATTCAGAAATGAAATTTGTCAGGTTGATAAAAATGGCTTTTCATTTGTTAATGAATTTTTCAAATAGATATATCCGAGACAGAGAGAGAAAAAGAGACTATATAAAAGATTAATTTTCTTTATACATTTCTTTATTTGCAATATATTTTAATAAAATTTAATTTAACAAAAAAATCTTGTTAGTAATTAATATTATTTATGATACTGAATAGAAACTCATTGAAAGAATAAGTTTAAAAAAAAAAAAAAGAGTAAAGTGAAAAATTTTGTTCATTTGAACTTTTGTAGAAGTTGGAGAGCAATTCCTTACGATGGTATGATGTAATTACAGCTAATTTTAAAAGTCGAGAGAGTTTTCAAGTGTTAAAAAATTATTGAATTTTTACATCGTTATTTAAGTTTTTTTTTTCTTTTTCTTTTTTTTTTTTGATGGCGGGGAAAAACTTAATGAGCAGTGGAATTTTATTTCTCGCCCGTATTTTCTGCTGCGGATGAAGTTGAAAATTTTGAAAAAAAAATATATATAACCGCATTCTTGGACTTGGAATTTATCTCTCTCTCTCATCTAACGATGGTATCCATGACGTTTCACTAGATACCCTCCCCCCCCCATCATAATATTTCTATCTCTATATTTCTCGTTTCCTTCTTTGATCGCATTTCACTAGACTTTGCCGCTATCTGTAATGAACGATCTATTGTGACTGTTTTGTGCTTTAAAAAGAGAGAGTGAAAGCGCGCGACAATGATCCTCTAACTGGGGTCTAAAGGGGGAAGTCCATTAACAGGCATCGTTTTTCATGAATCATTCTTCTCTCTATTTTCCTTTTTATGCGCGCCAACTCTTTTTTTTTTTTTTTTTCTTTTTTGTACATCCTTCGCATGTTTTCTTCAATTCTTTTTTAGCTTCTTCCTCAAGCAATCCTCCGCCCCATTATATCTCATATAGAGGTATTTATTATTATGTGCATTACAATCTGTGCAAAATAATTGAAATATTTTTGCAAAAAAAAAAAAAAAATAATATAAATACTCCTCTAAAGAATTAGTAAAAATATTAATTAATTTCACCGTCCGACAAAATTCAACTTTTTTTTTGACCCACAAAAAAATCCAACATTTTTTGGAAACTAGGACCCAAAAAAAAAATACCCGTGTCTGACCGTTTTGCTAGATCAAGTCATTTGTGGTTTTTAGGGATGAAAACAGCTTCTAAATAAAAAGTGACAAGATATCTTTTAAAAATTATTAATATTTTATAAAACTTGGTATCTGGGGGTTTTCGGGGTCGCTGATTATTAATCTGATGTCAGATTTTCAAAATTTAAAATGGCGGATTCAATATGGCGGTCAACATTTTAAAAAGTTATTAAATTTTTTTTAAACCTTGATATCTAGGGGTTTTTTTGGGTCGCTGATGACGAATCTTATGTTAAATTGTCAAAATTCAAAATGGCGGATATAAAATAAAAAATTAATAACTTTTTAAAAATTTGATCGCCATTTTGGATCCGCCATTTTGAATTTTGAAAATCTGACATCAGATTAATAATCAATGACCCCGAAAACTCACAGATACCAAGTTTTATAAAATATTAATAATTTTTAAATGTTATCTTGTCACTTTTCATTTAGGGGTTGTTTTCATACCCCTAAAAACCACAAACGACTTGATCTAGCAAAACGGCCAGATACGGTTTTCAAAACTTATGATATATCCACTTTTTCTTATGTCGAGAAATTGAAACAAACGACTTTTCTCACTTAATCACTACAGTTAATTTTAAAATAAAAAATTTGTAATAATTTATTTCTATAATAATGTTTATATACTTAAGACGTTTCCTTTTTAATTAAACTTTCTTGCCGATACTATTATAATAATAAAAACACTAAATTCGCCTTAACCTCTCGCACTCAATCGTACTCAGCCTTAGTCGAATCACTGCATTGTTTTCGCGCATGCATTAAATCCTTACAGAAAATATCTGTAGAATTAACAGATTTAGGAACATGTAAAATCTCCAAATCGATGTTAAAGAATTACCAGAAAATTTTTTTCCGTGTAGGAAATAAAATAAAAAAAAATCATAGAAGCGAATTTAATAAATGGAGAATAAAATCGGAAAGAATTCCTAATTAGGAATCTTTCTAAAAGCCTGGATTTTAAAAATTTGTAACCATTGCTATGAAAATCCTCTATAGATATATATATATATATACATGTTCGCGTATTTTAAATATTTCAAGCATGTTTCATACTTTATGTAACAAAATTGCGAACTTTAGAGCGGGGGATAAAGAGAGAAAAGAGGTATCGACATGATGAATGGCAAAGAGAAATATTTATGAACATTTTACGACATTGAGAGAATTATATATATATATAGTAAAACCATAAGTGCCTTTTGCTAAAAGTCTCTTAAATCTCAAAAAAAGAAATTATTTATGAAATATTAGATAACAAAAAATTTATTTTATTCAAATATTGGGTTACTTTATTATCAAATAAATATTTAATTGCATTAAATAATTATTATTTATATATTTTTAAATATATTTATAAATTTGATCTTAACTCTCTTTTTATAAATCCACTAAAATTCATTAAAAAGATAATTAAAAACCATATACCTTTTCAGGGAAATTTGATAACACATGTATATATATAAAGGTAGAGCTTTTTGTATCGAACGACAAAACGTGTTAAAGTTGATCCGGTTGTATTGATGGTTACGATAATGATGTCGCGTTTGGACATGAAGCTCTCTCAAGCAGAGAAGCAGCTGGCTCGTTGGTGGCTGGGCTAATTAGCATCTCGAGAGAGTGAGAGAGAGAGAGAATCGAGACGGATCGATCGTTATACCCCTTATTCTCACAGTTATATTGACTAAAATTTTTAAACATAATTATTAACATAATTCACCTCGATAAATTTTCTGCATTTTATTTTTAAAAAAACTAATAATAAAAGACCCTTTCTTATCTAAATATTTGATATTTTTTTAAAAAATATTTATATTTATTTTTTTAAAAAAAATATGTATTAAAAAGTAAGCTTCCTTTTCTAAGAGAAAATTTTTTTTTTGTTTCAGTGTTCTAGAAGTCCAGTGTCACAGGAAGTAAAACGACGGATAAACATCCGTCGTGAGAAACGATGGCGGCCGCGAGTTTTCCACCTAACTTTCCCAACGTCGGTGTTGTGGAAAACTGGTAAGTGAAAGAAAGAAACGTAATTCAATTTAAAAACTTTTCAGTTTTGTGTGACCAACTACTAGAAAATTAGAAATGAAATTGAAAATAAAATGTGCCCAATAAAGAAATATATAAGGAAAAATAATGAACAAAAAATATATCGAAAAATTAAAATTTAGAAAAAAATAGGATTAATTTTTTTTTTTAATCGGAAAATTAGACATAAATTAGATATGACTTTTGGAGATTGATCACTTTCCCTCCATTTGAATTTTCACTCTATTTCATTATATATAATGTGGATTAAATTGTGTGTATATATATATATGCGCTCTCACGTCCATGAAAATCAAGGCACATGCGTCAAATTCACAGGTTCGCACACACCAGTATATATAATCAAGTGTTTAGAATTAGAACACATTAGTCAAATGAAATACTTAGCTTAGTAAATAATATCATTTCGATTCCTCTACTAAATATTATACTATAATGTTCAAATAATAATAATAATAATAATAATAATAATTCGTGAATTATTTTCAATTTATGACTAATTAAAGTTCCAGCGATCGATAAATTCATTATAGATAATACCTAAAATAATTATTGTGTTATCTGAACTGTTTAAGCGTAAATTAAAGATTCCTTTCAATGAAATAATATGATAAAATAAACTTTTGAAAATTTATTGAATTTTTGAAAATTAAATATTTTGACAATAATTATATATTAATTATTAAAATAATGTGTAATTATTTGTAATTATTTAATATTTGAAATTTGTATATTTTATTTTTTTTTTAAATTAATCATATCGAGAAAATGGATGAAAAACAAACATTAAAATAATAGGATGAATTTTGAGTTTCCCTTTAATATTTTTGTATACAAATTTTCCCCCGTATTATATATATGTAAGAGTTTCTCATTAACTGTATAGTCCACCTGAGTCGCTGTGAGCTTATACAATAATTGGAGTAATAATAAATGACCGCGATATCCTTATCATAGAACATTACAAGGGATACTAAAATTTTCCTTCCTTTAATGTCCATCAATCTTCATTAATTTGTTTAAGTGTATATATCTCTCTGTGCGGTATTGTTATAAACAATTTTTGAAATTCAAATAATTAACTATATTAATAATTTAATTTTTGAATTAAAAATATTAATTTCCTCTCTATTTTAATAATTAAATTAACATCTTCAAAAAGTTCAAAATTGGAAAAAAGTTTATAGTTTTCTTGCGCGTGGGAAATAAATTCCAAGAATTATAGATCTTCTTTAAAACTTGTAAAGAGGAAAATTAACAATTTAGTTTTGAAAACGAAGGAGAGATAATGTAACAATTTTTTTTTCTTCTTTTGGAGTGTGTTATGTATATAAAAAGGAGTCTTGGATATTATTTAACGAGCTCGATTTCTCAAAAGGCGGTGTCCAGAGACCATTTCCGGTCTCGCGTACTCGAATGGACCCGTCGTCGTCGTCGAGTCGCAAAGGGAGCAAATAATTAAATGGCGTTGAAAATGTAACAGGTACCATTGTTGCCAGTTGAGAACCGAGATAGGCCTTCTCTGTAAAGAACGAAAAGCTTTTCGAAAGGGAAGGAAAGTAGGTCTCTCACTTTGCACTTTTGCAGCTTTAATTAAAGTTCTTTCAGAAGAATAGCTTTTGGGAGTCCATGTGTATGTGTATTAGTGTGGCGAAAAATTCTCCAGTTTTTCTCAATCTATATCCTCTTTTCACTATATATATATACACACTATGTGGGCGTTAGAGCGCGTTGTAAAGTGCAAATACTAATGAGTGCCAGTTGCCACGTTCATTTCTTTTTTTCTTCTCTCATTTTTTTTCTTTTTTCCTAAGGAAAAAAATTCCTTTTTTCAAGAAATATTAAAAATAGCAGCTAATTATGTATATTGTATATATTACAAAAAGCGAAGTTTATTATTTTTTCGACGCGCACGAATTACCGATTGATTCGGATGACTTGCGTGCTTTCTCCTACTTTTTCTTTTGTGAGGATTTTTTTTTGTTTTTCTATTTCTTTTTCTTGTGACCTTTCTTATTTTGTTTTCGTGCTGCTGAACCATTTAATGATAAAATTTGCAACGCCCTAGATAACCAAATCGAGCGTATCTTCATACAATTTTGAATTCTATTTTGTTGAATATTATAAATAAATAGAATAGTTAGTGAGAGAGAGAGAGAAAAAAGCGACTTGTAGTTGATAGGAAAAAAAAAAAAAAAAAGTTTTTATACTGAAAGTGCATTTTTCACAAAGCGTGAACTCTTGGAAAGTTTCATTATAGTTATAGCAAAGAGAGAGAGATAGAGGTTCTAATTAATTCAATGAATGTGAAGGAAGAGCTTAATCCAAATTAGAAATTTCAAACCACTTTAATGAAGAGGTTTCTTATATGTATTTAGTTTAATCACTCGCAAAATTCGTTTATAGCATTTTTCGATAATATATTTTTAATTTTACAACGATATATATTTAAAATAGACATTTTAAAATTCAAATTTATATTTAACAGATCTTCTTTATTTTTCGCCTCGTATTTAAAATTCCCTGATTGAAAAGGGAATGGAAAGAAATATATAAATTTATAATCGAAAGGGACCTTAGAAGCAAACAAATTATAGGTTATGTTTACGACAGCTTTGATCTTTGTGTATTATTTATATATATTATTTTTTAGAACAAAACAAACGAAATTTCCACTTTACTGAATTAATTTCTCGGGGAACATTATGTATATTCAACAAACACAGTAATTTCATTTAAAACACAATAGTACATTTAACTGTTTATTCATAGAGAATATTTATATGTGAGTAGATTGTATTTCCTTAAAAAAAGGAAATAAAAATAGATTGTTACACTTATATGATAAAATAACTCTCGTGACCGAATTCCCAACGTGTTTTACAACTTTGTCCATAAAATATACCCTAAAATTCTCTCTCTCTCTCATGTTTCCAAACGGTTTTCACACACGTCGATCTCTAAACACACTTATGTGTGAGAGAAAAATAAAGAGGGGGGGTAAAAAGGTTCAATAAACCCTTGCGACTTTTCTGCTTCTCCTCATCATCGAACTCGATTGACACGATCGCATCATCTCTTCGATAAGTCGCTTTCCCAATGGGAGAAAAATTTTCTCGAGTACCATTAGGCACTTTTCCCTCAATTTGTCGCGACTAGGGACCCCAATGGTCCCCAGATGCTTTTTAATAAACTTCCCCTTTCTCTCTCTCTCTCTCTTCTTTTTTTTCGATCTTTCTCCTTTTTTTTCTTGGCTCCATTTTTTGTTCATCTTCCTCTCGTTTTCTCGTTTATTATCTTTCTCTCTCTCATGGTGCCGATCGATACTATCATATCGGAATATACCACAGAGGGAGAGAGAGAGAGAGAGTGGGTGGTGCACACAGGGATGGCACGACAGGGATTCGGTAACGATCCAACCGTGATATCTCTGCCAGGGCATTCAGACTCGCGTGTGCACACGATTCGGAAATATATATATATATGTATATACTGACTATATATTCTGACCGTGTATATGCAGTCGCGTATCACCTATACATAATGTATGTTTAGAGAGAGAGTATGTTCACGATGAGGAGAACCCGTGTGCCTTGCAGTGACGGTGACTTTCGTCGTTTCTGCTATTGATGTCTCGTCGTGAGAGAGAGAGAGAGAGAAAAGAGAAAAAAAGAAGAAAACGGAACGGCAAAAGAAGCATTCGGCAAAGACCGCGCGACTTACCGATAATCGTTTTGTCCCTGTTTTTCTCATCCCCGAATAAAAAAATACAACCCATCCACCCACCTTTTAGGAGAGAAAAACTCTCTCTCTTTCTCTAAATCCGTAAAGGCGACCCTCTTAACCCCCTGCCCCCCTTCGACCTCTTCTCTATACCAAGTTTCGTCCCTCAAGCTAAACCAGCTCTCCATTTCCGTTATACGGAACGAGAACACGGGACATGACCTCCATCGATCCTTTTTGCCAAGAGACTGGTAATTGGACAATTTTTTTCGACGCTTATATAGTCTCTATCGCGAGAAAGAGAGAGAGAGAGAGAGAGAGAGAGAGAATTGTAAAAATTTTTACTGTCTGAAACATATTCATCGATTTTTTAATTTATAGAAACAATTAAAATTTTAAAATCATTATAGGAAAAAATTTCAGACAGACGCTTCATACACTGTAAAAAGAAGATCTTATTTTCAGATGAGTCTTAAAAAATCAGCGCTAGTAGCTCTAATGGAAATTGCATTTCGTAAATTCAGCAAAGCTACCTTAAAAATGTTGCCTCTTAAAATAAGACCTCCTTTCGGCCTTAAAATAAGATTTTCTTTTTACAGTATAAGGGATCTTAGCTGTAAACAATTTTAGGTTATTTTACTTTTAGTGATAGAACGTCCAAGCGCCCGTCCTGCCGGATGGCTTTTTTGGATGGCCCTATATATATGAGGGTGGTAAAAAGGGAACTCAAAATTTTTTTCTGCCACCCTTTTTTTATTAAAGTAGACGTAAAAACAAAAAAATTCATGCGTTAGACTTTAAAAAAAAAATAATATTAAACCATGTTTCGAAGCCTTCAAACTTTGCATGTTTGCAACAAGCCAAAAAAACAGTTTTTCGTAAATTCACTGTAAAATCTACAAAAACCAATATTTTTCGGTCTAACTACTCTCATTTTCTTCTGAAGCCTTCAAAGAATAAAATGTGATAGTTTATTTTTAAAAAAATTCAGTTTAAATATTTATTTGGATTCGTCAAAAAAACCCTATAAAAACGTCCTTTTTCTTTGAATTCCCTAGACTAGGGATTTTAATTTACAAACTTTATGTTTACATGCGCTAAAAGCTTGTGTTTTTACCTTTCCAACGATATATTTTACTTTTGGATTATCTGAATCCATGTTAATTTTATAAAGCGATTTCGGAGGGACTCACGTGAGTCTTTTTCATCCTGCCGGAAGGCTGTTGGACGTTCTATCA